GGCCTTGTTTCAGTTTCTGCAGTAGTATTCAGCAAGCTCCGGGGCATACATGGAGTCTGGTCCAGGAGACAAAGTAGAGAATGGGTGAGGGGCAAGAGGAACAGATGGAGATAAATCCATGACAACTGGGTGACCTCTTAGAGAGCTGGAAGCTTTATTGTAAAGCTCTAAACTCCCAAGGAAGGAAGGGATGAACTTTTATTGACCAGTAATTACATGCCAGGCACTTTCCCCACTATTTCTAGGAAACAGTCATTGTTAGCCCTATTTTGTAAATGAGGAAAGCGGTCTCAGTGAAGATAATTTGCCCAAAGTCACAGGGCTAGTAAATGGCAGAGCAACACTTCAAAAGTTTTTGGGTTTTTTGTTTGTTTTTTCTGACTCCAAGACACCAGCTGCCTGAGACTCAAAGAAGAGACATGCCCCACCCCATCTTCCCATCAGGCTTGGCAGGTGGCTTGGGTGGGCACAATTCTTCAGGCCCTCCAAGGTCACCGATGGACCTTCCAACACTTCCAGATTTTCCCCGGCCCCCCACAAACCTACAGCTGTTTGAGGAGGTCCCCAACACGGTGACTTTGACCTGGAACCACAGCCCCGATGTGCAGGAGGACGGTGAGGCCCACTACGTCATCATGAAACGGGATGCAAGTACCGCCACCTGGTACACGGCAGCAGAGCGTGTCTTCAGCAACAAGTACACAGTGACCGGGCTGCTCCCAGGCCGGAAGTACTACTTCAGAGTGGTGGCCCGGAATGAAGTCGGTGACAGCGACCCACTCGACTCCAAGGACACCTGGCTCGTCAGTAAGGACCCGAGTGAGTCAAGGGACCTGAGGGTTTGGGTTCCTTGTGGGGGCCCTGATGGTGGGACGTCATGAGGGTCACGGGGGTGCCCAAGAGGTGAGATACAATCAAAGAACCATTGAGAAGGAAGGGTTAAAGTTTGAGACGCTGGGGAGAGAAGTAGGTGTTGAGGAAGCCTAGCGGTGGAGGGTACTTTGAGGGGTGAGACTAACGTGAAGGTGGGGAGGTACCCCTGGGGCGGTGAAGGTGAGGGAGGGGAAGAAAGGGGCAGAGGGAATTAGAGGGAGGACGCTCTGAGGGGAGGGGCTCTGGGAACCCTGGAGGGAGGAAAGGAGTAAAGCGTGGGGAAACTGGAAGCGAGGGGCTAAATGGGAGAGACTGTGGACGCTAAGATAACGTAGGGGAAGCTTTTGGAGGCGGAGTTAAGGCCGGGGTAACATCTGCGAATACCGGGGTCGGGAAGCCCGCGCTGGAAAAACATCTAGGACCCCCCAGGTCTGGGAAAGCGGAAAGACCTGCGAACCTGGCTTGGGTCACAGAACCCTGGGGTGGCTGGGGGCGGATGGGGGCGCGCGGCGTGGGGGGTTAGAAGGGAGCCCTCAGAAACCATATGACGTCGGGGCCGCCAGAGCTGACGGTGTCTGGGAGTCTGGCCCAGTCTTCGGGGTTCCGTGTAAGCCGCGTCTCCAGGGCGCCCTCCAGGGTGGAGGGTGGCGGCCTTGGGGCGTGCTCACGGCCCGCCCGGTCCCGCCCGCGCAGTCGAGGACCTGAGCGCCAAGCTGAAGCCCTACGAGCAGAAGGACTGGCGCCACGCGCCGCGCTTCCTGACGCCGCTCAAGCCGCACACGGTGCTCCGCGGCCAGGACTGCACCATGACCTGCGCCTTCCTCGGGAACCCGCGGCCCACGGTGACCCTCTACAAGGGCGACGTCAACATCACGGCCAACTCCAAGTTCTGGTACAACTCCACCAGCGGCGTGTGCACCATCGTCATCCCCACTTGCACGCTCAAGGACAGCGGCGATTACAGCGTGCTGGTGGAGAATGAGCTGGGCAAGGACCGCAGCAGCTGCACGCTCACAGTCTACGGTGAGCGCTGCGTGCCGGTCGTGGGGCGGGGGGGAGGGTGGCGGGGGGGGTGGCAGGGGCGGGCGTCCCGTCGGGCCGGGCGCAAAACCGTGGTCTTGTGGGCCATTAGTCAACTCTCCTTGTTCGGCTGGCACCGTTTTTATTTGATCTGACTGCCATCGGGTGGTGCAAACATTCTTAACTGGCCACGTTTCTTACTAGCACTCTCCGATGGACGTCCCCATCCTTAGAATGTGGTTTGCAACCCTTGGTGAGCCAGGACCCACCTTTAAAATGTATATATATTGGTGACCAGGACTAAACCAGATTTATAAATCACAGTCTCTCTGGCAAGGTTTGGGAGGAATCCATAGGTTTACAAAATTTTGCAAGTGATTCTGATGTGCAACCAAGATTGAAAACTACTGGTCTAGGATGAGGACAGATGGAAGGCACCAATAGGGGGGACTGAAGGGAACCCTCCCCTTTGCACATGCGTGCCATGTTCCTGCTCATGTGTGCACATGCACGGGGAAATATTTTCTTCCTTCCCACACTCCTACTGTCTTCATAGCCACACAGCTAGCAGCGTGTAACTTTCCTCTAAATGGAAAGTTGACTTGCCTAGATTTCCCCTCATGATAAAATCCAAAACCAGCAAGGTTTCCTCCCTCCCCTCTCTAGTCTCATCCTTTGCCACTCCCTGAACTCTCCATGACACTCCATTGCTGTGGTCTCTATGGTTACAGACCTTTTTTTATCCAGTTATAGATGCCACTCCTTGGAGAGAGGATCATGTCTGTCTCTCAAGTGCTAAGTGTCTGGCACTGAGATGATGATGTCTCCAGAGTGGCTGCCAAACTATGTTAACTGAACTAGTCCAGGGACAGCACCATGAGAGCTACACAGCTAGAGAGATCCCTGACAATTTGACTCTGGTTGTGAGCGCAAGGCCCTAGCTCCAGTACTGACCAGTCATGTGACTTTGGCAAGCTATTTCTCTCAGCATATTTTCTCATCTGCTTCTTAGGACTGTGAGGCTTAAATGAGATTGTGCATGAAGTGCCTGGCAAATGTTAAGTGCTGAATAAATGGCAGCTCTCCATTCCACACACTCTGCTGACCCAGGATTAAGGGTCCCACAGTCCAGCTCCTGGTTCATGCATAAGGACTCCAAGTCCAGCAGTTTGGAATTTCCCTAGCCCCTGACATCCTTAACAATAACAAATACCTGTTTTGCTCTTTCAGACAAAGACGACAAGTCAATTCTAGCATCCATCACCGAGAGTCTGCAGAAGAAATCAAAATATCTTATGTGAGCTCCAGTCCAGTTCAGGCATCAGGAGGTGGTTGTAATGTGCGACTTCTTAGGTCTGTCCTCTGCCTGGCCCAGTTTGCTCTCTGGTGCTTGTCAATGTAAACATTCAGTGAAGGGACAGGACAATAAACTAAGCTCACCTTTTCCTGCTCTTGAGAGTGGTATACAGCAGGGACCAAGGGAATGGATATGAGTCTGGGCTGGAGATTCCCAGACCTGGGCTCCTGAGAAGCTGGTCCAAACCCACCCACAGAGGGACTGACCAACCCCCTTTTGACTGGCCCTTGACTTGCCTTCCCCTTCTCCACACCCACACTGCACCTTTCTGCCACCACCCCTCAGGGCTCAGGATTGCCTGAGCCCAAGGGTTCGAGACCAGCCTGGACAACCTGGCGAGACCTCATCTCTACAATAAATCAAAAAATTAGCCAGGCATGGTGGCGCGTGCCTGTAGTTCCAGCTACTTGGAAGGCTGAGATGGAAGGATCGCCTGAGCCCAGCAGGTCGAGGCTGTGGTAGCCAAGGGAATGAAGTCTTGCTGACTTCATCCTTCTCCCCATCCTGCCCCCTCTCATTTTTCACACTGTGGAGGTCTGTGTTCAGAGTTCTGGGGTTTGACAGGATCAGGACCCTGCCTCTTTAGTGCCCAGGGTTCCCACTATTGAAGCTACAAGGGATTGGCCATCCAGCTCACTAAGTTTCAAACTCATATTTTACAGTGGAATCCTTCTTTAAAAAAAATAATAATCTGGCCAGGTGTGGTGGCTCAAGCCAGTAATCCCAGCACTTTGAGAGGCCAAGGTGAGAGGACTCCCTGAGCCCAAGGGTTCGAGACCAGTCTGGACAACTTGGCAAGACCTCATCTCTACAATAAATCAAAAAATTAGCCAGACATGGTGGCATGTGCCTGTAGTTCTAGCTACCTGGAAGGCTGAGGCAGAAGGATTGCCTGAGCCCAGCAGGTTGAGGCTGCAGTGGCCATGAGCATGCCACTGTACTCCAGCCCAAGCGACAGAGTGAGACTCCGACTCAAAAAAAAAAGAAAAAAAATGTAAGAAGCTACTGGACTTGAAATAAGGATAGGGGGTCTTTGAACCTGTCTTCTCTCCTTATTCCTTTGCTACCCCTCCCCCAGGAATCTCTGTAAAAACCCTAATTTGAAAATTACTAATTCACCTAACACCCACATGAGACTTGAGTCTCCTATACCACATTCCCCCAAATGGGCAACACGTCTCCTGATGGCATATTCAACACCACCCAAGGCCTCCATCCCTACTTCCAGGTTAGGTTGCCTGTTGAGATGCAAAAATGCCCCTGGAGTAGGTTGCTGCATTATTCTGCCAGGGCTTTGCATCTATAATACGAATCAGCCAATCTAATCCTTCTCATTGTTTAACTAAGCCCAGAGTCCAAGGTGAAGGAGGTGCTTGAAGGGAATGTAGACTGTTTTGGAGCAGGCAGCAGGTTTGGGGTGGGGAGGGGAGGTGGGCAGCAGCAGAAGACACTGGGTAACTAACTAACTAAAAGTCACCCCGGGTGCTGGGCACCTGTGCACAGGAGAGTGTGTCAAGGGCAAGTCTGGACAGGGGTAAATACTACCCATCCCCCACCCTCCTGAACCACATCGTCACCTACACATGTGACCAGGGAAGTGAGACCCACTCCAGCCAGCAGTGTCACCAGAGCCAGGGAGCCAGCCTGGCGCCAAGATGCACTGGCTGGGACTGTGACCCAGGCTGTGAGGACAGCCAGGGCCCCTGGCACCATGCCCCCACCACCCTCTCCAGGACAGGCACATGCCACATAGGCAGACAAACAGGGCAGCCAGTGGCCCTTGGTTTTTATTTTTTTCACATGGGCAGTAAAGGATGGAGTTGTCCCATCCTTGCTCCCCTTGCATTGACTGTGCCTTGGGTCTTATAACCCCAGAGTGTGTCATTGGAGCCTGCTCCTCTTGCTCCTACTATAGGAGGGCAAGGAAGAAAGCATCGTGAGTGTGTGTGTTGGAGGGGAGGGGTCCCAGCTCTCTGAGCCAGGCTCAGTACCCCCTCAGCAGCTCCCTGAGGCCCTCTCCCTATGAGACTTTGACAGACAGCAGGACAGAGACATATGGCAGAGAAAGACATAAGCAGGCTGAGAGACAGACTACACACATACAAACACACACAGACACGCACACACACGCACATACATAGACTGGCCCCTTCCTTTGGCATGTTTCACCCTAGCCCTGACGATAGGGTCTGCAGGTGGCAGTATGGGGCCTGAGCTTTGGCCTGGCCTGAGAGAGAGATGGGGCCACTTGAATACTTGGTACCCCAACCGCTGAGGCCAAAAAAGTTCCCTCTCCTGTCTAACCTGGACAGATACCTCTTCATCTTCCCACCCAACACTTAGAGATTGAGATTGTTCAAGTAACAAGGATAGAAGAAGGAAAGGGAGACTCCACTCTCATCTAATCTTCCCAACTAGGAGCCTGTGAAAGGGGCTTCAAGCCCTGGGTGTGGGTCATCTTAGCACAGATTTCTCTCCTTTTTCCCTCAACTCTGTGCAGAATAGAAAGGGGAGGAGTGGGTGAGCCCAGCATTGCCACTGGTCCTAGGCATAAGAGATGGCGTCACTCACTTCCACCGAGTAGGGGAAGGGGGGGTGAGGAAGCTGAGCACCATCACCCTCCGGGGGGGGCTCTGACAGTTCTGATGGGGTAGAGGGGAGAGATGTCTACTTCTGGCTCCAGCAAGGGGTCAAAATGGCTCTTTTAGATCTCAGCATGGTCCTGGACCACTAGCGCTGCTAGGGAGATCCTCTTCTTGCTCACCCCCTCAAACAGGCAAATTCCCCAGGCGGTACCTGCTACCCCAGGCTGGCACCGCAGCCATCCTGATCCAGCTCCTTCAGGTTCCCAGGGTCTGGAACCCAGCCCCAGGAAGAAAAAGGGGTGACCGGACCCTGGCATCTCAGTTGGCCTTGCTCAGTCTATAGTCCTCCACGGGTTCCCGGCTCTCGACAGCTGACAGGGCAATGAGCATCTGGGCGGCGTAGTAGGTGGACATGATTAGTGCCCGTGAGTAGGGCACGGGAAAGCAAAACTTGTTGAGAGCGATGATGAGGTCCGAGGTGATGAAGAGCAGTGCGCCACTGCCAGCTGCCAGCTCAGTCCAGCGCCAGGCTGCCCCGACCAGCCGCAGCCCTGCCATAGCTCGCCAGCCCATGAAGCCAATCAGGGCCACATAGACCCCCACCAGGTAGGTGAAGGCACCTGAGAGGCTGGGGTAGAGGAGGGCATAGCACAGGCCTGACAGAACTGCCATCACCATACCTGTCCGAAGAGCCAATGGCCGCATGCCAAAGGCTGAGGCGTAGAGCATGTGGGTCACAGCAAACATCAGTAGACCTGGGAGTGAGAGGAGGGAGGAAGCTGAGGGCAGGCTTGGTGAGGAATGAGCAACTGGGTGGGAGTGGGAGTGGAGGCGAAGTGTTTGGGATAACCCAACTGCTTTGTTTGGGGACTAACAGGAATGGGAAGATCCACAAAGGTAAAGACCACTACCCCCAGGCCCCTGAAGAACTCTAAAACCGTTCACCAGATCCCCTGCAAGGTCATATCCCAACAGGGCCCTTCTGAGGCCCGGGGCCTCAGAATCCCTCAGGCTCCCCATATTCTGGTTCAAAAGCGCTTTCTTTCAAATCCTTCCCCCCTATCCTCAGCCCTCTAACCCCCAGCCCCAGGACCCTTCCCAGGCAGCTACTATGGCCACTGACCGTGCACAAAGTATCCTTGGTCCTGCCAGATGAGGAAGGCATCACCTACAGCAGAGAAGACGAGCCCCACAAAGATGCGGGTGGCGCTGGGGTGGGCCAGCAGGAATCCTAAGCCATGGGCCAGAAGAAAGAGCCAGAGGCAGAAGATGGGCAGGCACTTGATGAGGGCGCTGACCCACGATGGGCTAGATGAGGGCAGCCAGAGCACAAAATACACGCAGGTGGCTTTGAAGAAGGGCACCAATTTGGGTCCCTCACTCTTCACCTGGAGGACACAGGATGAGGGCAGCACTCAGAGCTTGGCAACAGAAGTCCATGGGGGGCTCAGAATCAACACCCTCAGCCTAGGAGTCCATATCAGGACAGGCCCACCACTCCCCTTCCCCCGACCTCACTTCCACCCCCCAACAGACTGGTGCAGAGAAAACCAGCCTGGCCTGCCCCAACCAGCCAGCAGGATGTGAACAAACCCATCACCACCATGAGGCTCAATTTATTAGGAAGGGAAAGGGCTCTTGCCACCTGGGTCCACTCTTGGCCCCAGGGCTGGGCTGGAATGGTCACTCAGTGGGCAGCAAACAGATCTTGGGATAACGTCCCCTTCTACAGCCCAGTGCTTCTCCCTTCCTGTCCCCTCCCTCTGCCTTCCCAAGGCCCCTTTTAGCTCCTCTCTCTGCCAGTATCAGCCCTCAGCTGTCTGAAACGGAGTGAGGTCAGCGGGAAACCACAAAGACGCCCCGGCTGGCCAACTCGTGATCCTCGGCAGTAAGGCCAGGGCACAGACTTAGGGGCCTGGCAACACCAGGTGAGTGCCAGGAATGTGGGAGGGTGAGCAATGCCAACCACCTCAGCCCCCACAGCCTCTCTCCTCCTTCACCAGTCTGCTTCTCAGCCCCCACTCCACCTGCTCCAACCTAAAGGTGGCATCAAGGGCAAGAAGAGGTGCTAGGGATGCTGGCGAGAGGAATGGATCCATGAGTTGGGAGCAAGAAAACTGACCCTGGAACACCAGAGATGTCAGGGATGGGGGGAGGAGTGTGTGTGTCGGTCAGTCTCATTTTTCCCAGAGAACAAGAGCAACTCAAGGCACACCAGAAAGAGACAGGAAGGGGGGAAGGGTTCTCTTCCCAGCTTCTGATCTGGAGCCAGCAGACAGGCTGGGAGGAGAGGGGAACTGAGAGGGGGAAATCAGAGCAGCTGACTTGGTTTCAACCGGATTAGGGGGGAGGGCAGCTAAAGAAAGGTTCTACCCAAGGCCACTGCAAGCAGAGTCCAAGCTGGGGGGGGCAGGGGAGAGGTCAGTTCAGATGTTCCGAATCTGTGATTTCTGAAGCGCCTTTCCTTGGACTGCTAGTGATGCATATCTGGGGGTGATATGGAGCAGCAGGGATTCCCTGTATAGCCACACTCTGCCCAAAGTGATTATGTCACTGACGGGTGAGCTGTCCAGCACAGGGCTCTGAAGACACACTCCCAGACCACCAGGTACTCGGGGAATGATCGGGCTGTGACTAGGGGGTTTGGGAAGAGGCAGATAGGTGAGTCTAGGGTCCAAGCCTGCCCTTGTTCTGCCAGGGATGAGAGCAGGAAGAAGAGATGACTTCCCCTTCCTATGGAAATTTCCCCACTAAGGCTGGTCAGGGTAGGGGCATGGTCAGAGGAGGGGATGCCCAGCCCCACAATCCCCAGCCTCCATCTGCCAGCCCTTGGGAGCATCAACGTCCGCTCCATCCCCTCGCCCGGCCCCATACTTTCTAGAGGGAGAAACTGGCAGTAGCTGGGGGGACGCTGGCCGTCACAGAGAACCCAATACTAGAAAAAGGTCAGGGAGAGGAAATAAAAGGTTGGAGTTGAGAAAGTACGGAAAGGAAGAGATGACTAAATAGAGAATGGCCCCTCTTCCCCCTAACTAACGCCTTATCGGCGCTGCTCAGACTCAGGGGCGCCCCCCGACCTGTTTATAAGATGAGGAAGGGAAGGAAACAAACTTGGGACGGGATTCCCAAGGGTCCCTGTCACCCTCCCGGCCGCCCCCGGGCCCCCGCCTCCCCG